CTGGAACCAACTTCCAAGCGAAGTGTTGCTGGCTCCTACCCTGGGGGTCTTTAAGACAAGGCTAGATGAACACCTTGCTGGGGTCGTTTGACCCCAGTACATTTTCCTGCCAAGGCAGGGGGTCGGACTTGATGATCTGCTCAGGTCCCTTCTGACCCTAGCAACTATGAAACTATGAAACTAAGTGTGTACTCTGGATAAAAATATAGCCTTTTCAGTCTAGATGCTATAAACATAAATGGAGCACACTGAAATATAAGGTGCAGAGGGACAATCACTTGAAAGTGAATTGACTTTTTTTGGTTTGCTGGCAATTTCAAAAACTTAAAACATACATTTTCTGGGTCAACCCAAATAGACATTTTCCAGAATTCCCAGGAATTAAAAAAAAAAAAAACTTCCTCCAAGTAAGTGGCCGGACCATCAAGATACAGAGTTTCTTTCTGGCCCCATTTATATTTAACATATTTACTCAAATATAAGACTAGGGTTTTTTCCTCATTCAGCCTTTCATCTTAAAATGGAATATGGGCCAGGCAAGCAGCTGCAGTGGGTCTGGATGGGACCAGGATAGCTCCTGTGGCAGGTAGGGTGTGCATAAGAGAGCATGGGATGGGGGCATGTGATGTCAGGGGAGAAAGAAAGAAAGTGGTGGTGGGAGGATTATGGGGGAAGGGGGCATAAAGAAAGGGACATGTGGAGCAGAGGGAAATGGTGTGGGGGAAGGGAGTGCAGTGCTGGGAGAAGCTTGGGGGAAAGTATTCGTGATGCAAGGGGCGAACATGGGTAAGGAGTGCAGAGGGAAACATGGAGGAAGGAATGCATGGAGTATGGGAAAATGGCATGGGAAAAAGGGTGTATGACACGGCATGTAGGCCTGAAAAGCTGCCTTGGCATAACCGATGCCTTTTTTCTTCCCTTTGAACTGACACCATAAACTTTCAGCAAAAGAGGCAACTAAGCACAGGTCACATAAACAACTCCTGTAGGCAAAACAAAATATAGATATAGCTGTAGAATGTAAGAAAACATAGAATAGAGAAGCAAAACAAACCCAAAGATAGCTCAGTAGGTAAGAAGCAAAAGAAATAGATTGAGGGTGAAAGATTGATGGGGAAAAAACTGCGGTGAAAGGGAACTGGTAAGGATCTATGGCATGACCATATATGAAATATACAGAAAAGGGCTGTAAAAGGGTATAAAAGCCTAAGGAAACAAACAAGTATGGAGAGCTGTCACCAAGACAGAGTCAAAACTGCAACCCCCAGTGCCACGACGATCAGTAGAGCCATTGTTCACCCTTCAGAAGAACTGTGTGAGAATACATCTACAGACTGTTTGGGGTTTTGCTCAAGTAGTGGTATTGCTTATGTGTTCAATAAATTTGGATTTGAGACTGGAATGGGATCACCAATCATTTCATTATGTTCACACCACCCCTTAACCAAAATTAAATGTAATGGCAGGGTGAGAGGAAGGGAGACATAGGGAAGGGGTGTGTGGCGTGGGGGGAGCATGTAGGAACAGGTGGCAGGGGGCACTGGCAAAGGGATGCATGGAGTGATGGGAGTGCAGGGAAGGGGTGCAGGGAGGGTGTGCAGTGCAGGATAGAGTGCATGGAAAAGGGAGGTCGGTGCTGGAGGGAGCATGGGAAGAGCTCATGGTGCATTAGGGGAGCATGGGGAAAGAACACATGGAGCAAGGGGTGGGCAGGGAGAGCTCAGCTGCACGGGGAGGTAGTGGAGACACTGGGAGTGGGAGCTATGGGGAATTTTGGGGTGGCTATAGCCCAAGCTCCTCCCAGCACTGCCACTGCTCAGGGCACTCACCAAGCGAAAGGCAGCAGAGCAAAGCCCCCCATGCCCCTTTCCCCCTACTCCCCAGACTTACCAGACAGATGTTGCTCTCCATGCTGCCTGGCTGCATTCCTTGCTGTGTGCATTCTGCGACTGCACACATGCACACAGCATTTATCATTGACATTATCATCTACATCAGCCAAAAAAAGCCAATAGCCAACCATGTTAATTTTCCTTTTAGCAGTGCCAATCCGATATATTGGTGCACCTCTAATAGTAAGTAATTAAACAATGTGAAACAGCTTCAATAGAAAAGATTGACAAAATTGCCAAAGTACCCTCAGTGGCTAGGGGACTGCACTGAGAGTCTTTGTTTCAAATGAGAGAGAGAAGGGATTTGAACCTGGATCTTTCATATCACAGATAAGTGCCCTAAGCACTGAGCTACAGAGCACAGCATCACCTATTCTTCCTCCCTAATTTTGTGAATGGCATTTAGATCTCTAAGGAAATTAACCTGAAATGTTAAAGTGTTGTTTGAACAAGGTCATAAGCATAAAAACAATCCAGGCTAACTCAAAGCTGTTTTTTTTATGTAGCTAAATGATTCATGACCCACTATCCACCCACGCACCACACGTTGACGATCCAGCAGAAAACCACCACTGTCAGTGGACAACGATCAGGAAACATTTGTAGCAGAATGATTAGATAGGAGCACACCTTCACACTTTTCCCCAAAAGCTGCATTAAAAAAAGATATATTTGCAACAAACCCTAAAGATCAACAGATTAATTCAAGTTCCAAAGCTAAAGTGTGTTCAAGGAAAGCATTTTGGCAGCAGCTTCTGCTCTTTCAAACTGAACAAGACCCATGTTCCAGCTCCCAAGTTTGGCTATAGGGGGAGAGGTGCTCTCTCCAGTAGGCAAGTCTAAGGTCATTTAAGAGTATAATACTACAGTGAACTCCTGATATTAACTTTATAATTATAAAGATAATAACACTACCAAAGTTTCCTACCTCATGCCACTGTCCATCTGGCTTGTTTTGTTTGTGTTGGCATACCAAAAATAAATGGTACTAGATTTGTCAGCAATTATTGCTAGTGAGTCTCCATCTTTATCCCAGTCCATGGCAACACAGTTGCTTAAAAAGCACAAGGAAAAGAAAAAATAAATTTCACTAGGGATTTTAAAAGCTTATTTTTAAGGTACAAAATATCCAGAATTCTAGGCATTGTATACAAGGCCCCAGTCCCTGCTCCATCCCTTCTAAATGAAGCCAAGTGACAGGATGAGACATTCATTCTTTGCAAACCTGAATATCTATGTAGAAGCTGCAGCATTAGTACAAACTTCCGTTAGGCTTATGACCTCTTCCTCCTCCTTTTACCTTCACAAGTAGCCTACCATCCTAGTCCCTCCAAAGATTCTGGGGTTGGTGGGCCTCCAGCTATATCCCTTATACATAAAATATGGATAATTATGTCACTTAGCTATGTCCCATGAAAATATGGATATCACCAAACTATAGCACTTTTTAAAGCTACTCAGTGCAACCTGAAAACTCAGTACTAATTAATGTATGAGCTTAAGAAAGAGCCACACTGATGCAGAAAAAGGCTGTAGGTACAAGAAGATCCTAGAACTGACACAGGAACAGGGATATCATAATGTGTAGCAAAAGGAGACGAGCATTCTGGAGGTACCTGTACACTAAGATCATAAAAAAAAATCTCTGCATCTGAAGTAGGACTATTTTCCTTTCGTTGTAGAAAAGGATTCAGAGACTAAAGGACTGGGAGATACAGGGCAATGCACAAACCTTTGGAGATGCTAAAGGGGGAAGTGGCCACCTGGTGTACCTAAAGATACAGGAGTGGCAAAGCAGATTATCCACCCAGAAGCCTAGCTACATACCCGAAATTTAAAAAAAAAAAGAAAGGATGAATCCTGGGATAGGAGTGTCTGTATAAATGTCAGCCACTTGTATTCTGGCTGCAGTCAGGCTTGTTCGTATTGTTACACCAAGAGACTGTGAGCTTAGGCTCACACAGAAATTACGAGCCTCCCTCTATTATTGGAAGGAGGGCATAAATGCTAGCAAGTGATTCCAGGGGACAATAAACGAGAAAATAGGCACAGTAGTGTAGGCCATAAGTTAACAATAAGTGTTTCAAGTGGGTGTAATGAGCAGAATGCACTACCCAGCACCCACTGACTGCAGTCAGGCCTATCTGTTATACAATGGGGAAACAGTGGGCCAAGCACACTAAGACAATTATAGTTAGTAATTATGCATTTAGTTGCCTCTCTAAGTACTGTGGACAACTAATGAAATAATATGGAGGTCGCAGGTTCATCACAGTTGCTCCAACTGGCCGCAGGCAGGAAGCAGAAGTACAACAAAACTAGTCCTGAGTCTGGAAGAAGCCATTTATTATCTTCTATACTGTGATACTGGCATAATCTCTCAGCTATTGCTTTTTGATAAAAAAAGAAATGTAAAATATAGAAGAAAAAAAGGTTTTAAAATTGTTATAAGTGCATTGAGTAAGAAGCATGAAATCTCACTGCTTTACCAAACAAAATAAAATAAATGATATTTAAAAAAAATAAATTGAAATGAATATGAATTGTGCTCTTGCTCTCTATTCTAGGCAGGTTTTGTCTTGATAAAATAAAACAGCCTGGTGCAAAGATTACAGGTAGCACAAGACACCAATATACATCATTGGTACAGGAACATAGTATTTTTTGTGGTTCTTTTATTGTGAAATCAACCCTGCCTCATGGCCGCATCTTGATTCATATTCCTTATTTATATCATCATGTTATTAAAAAAAATGAATTCTTAAGAAACCACTCAAAACCCATCTCAATACTTACCCTGGTAGGTTAATTTCATTTCTCTTCTGACCATGACGATCAAAGATTTTTACAGTGTGATCAACACTAACAAAATTAAAAAAGGATTAGCAAATAAGGCAAACTAAATTTTTTTCTTTGTACATTTACAAGTATCAGTAAGAATGTTTTCCATTGATCTTTCATATCCCTGTGATCTGGTTCCCAAATTTAATCTATGAATATTTCCAGGGGTTGGGTCAGTACTTTGAGCTATTTTCACATCTAATAGCTACCGCTATTTGCACTTTTCAATGATTTCTATGTACACATAAACAATATTTAAAGATGTTATGCACTCAGTTGTCTCTCTCACATAGGCAACTTGTAGGGGAGGTGGGGGGGGGGGAGGGAGGCACGTGCCCTCGCTGACAGGGCTGTCCCTGCTGTTGACACCTCCGGTGGCTTTTGCAGGTGCTCACTGACCCCATCCCCACCGATGCCTCCTTCTGCAGGTGCTCGCCAGCCTGGTCCCCACTGCCGCCGCTAACTTCTGCAGGTACCCGCTTCAGACTCAAGAGGCACCAGTCACACATGCTCCCCAACTAAGAGAAGCTCATAATTCCCTTAGTGGACATGGCCCTTTGTTTCTCCATTGCACAAAAACTAGGTCTGACTGCAGCACAGTGGGTGGTGCGTTCTCCTCTATAGCCTTGAAACATTTACCATTAACCTATGACCCACCCTCCTGTTCCCATTTTCTCATTTCTTGTCCCCTGAAATTGCTTGTTAGCTTTTACTGCCTCTTTCCAATAACAGAGGGAGGCTCAGTTTTCTTACCCTGTTACTGCAAGAAAGTTTCCTAAAGTCTTCTGCCAGGTTAATTGCACTGGGGAACCAAGCAGAGACTTTTCTGAAAGAAAAAATACTCGCTGGCGGGGGTTGGGGAAAGGGAGGGCAAAAAGAGGAGAATTATGAATTTTAAAACAGCAAATGTTGAAAAAACAACATAGTAAAACATGTTAATAAAGGGTCCCACTACACATGCAGATAAAATGTGCAGTCGGATCTAATGTGAAATCCACACAGTTGTGCCTCCTGCCAGGCCACACAAGCGTGACAGGAAGTGTGACTGTGGGATCACACATCAGATCCTCTTGCTTACTGCTGGTGTAGGGGGGAGCCTGGGATCATGAGCCCAGGTTTCCTCTGCACCGGCTCCCACGGCTGTAAAGCCGCCAGGTGACACACAATGTGGGGCTCACAGAAGGGGCAGCTGCCCCCCCTGCCAGGTGGTGCAGAGAACGAGCCTCAGGAGGTGCGAGGCTAACAAAAGGGGGTGCTGCCACCGCTGCGAGCCCCACAGCCCATGAGACTTATGGGGCAGTCACCACTGTTAGTGGGACACCAGCAGATCCCCGCCTTTTCCGTCAGGGCGGTGCCAATCCCGCACATCGCGCCCGGGGCCAAACCGCGCAGCCGAAGCAGGAGACGCCGCTGGTGCCGGCAGCCCCGGGCGAGGGCACAGGAGCTGGGAGCGCCCCGCTGCAGCCTCCCCGCACCCGCCGCCTCACGGGGCAACCTCCGTAGCCCTGTTTCGGCCTCCCGGCGCGCGCAGTAACTGCCTCACCTTCATCTTCCCAGCCGGGCCTACGCCTGGCAATATCTCAAGTGCGCAAGCGCAACGCACTCCAGACTGGGGGGAGGACGCTTCGTCCAGATAACAGCGTCTCTGTTACCCTGGTAACGGCCGGGGGACTGAAGAGCCTGTTGCTGTCTAGGCCAATCAGACCGAGCGGGCATGGCCCAACCTGGAAATGCAATCTGAGTGTGATGACGCGTACTCCACAGTCGCTTCAGCAACTAGCTCCGCCCCCACGGGGGGG